GGGGGGGCGGAAATGGAAACTTTTATAATAATAAAATTTACTAAAAAAAAAAAAACACGTGGCTTTTTTCCTGCTACTGCTCAATCAGGGAAACCTCTCTTAAAGGAGCCACGCCTATGCTTGCTTCTAGCAAACAGAGCCCACTCAAGAAAATGCCGCTACCAAATCATGATTAACTCTGTTCTTTTATGTCTAGGATTCGTTTTTAAGCTTTATCAGGTTTTGGGTGGATTTAGTAGAGCATGTTGATATTTTCAGACTTTAAAACATATATGTTGGTTTAGCCTAACTAACATGACTACAAACTTGACTATTATTGATGATTATCTATTAATCTATTACTGGGAAAAGATATCATGACTGTGGCAATTCTTATAAGGAAAATATTTAATTGGGGTGACTCACAGTTTCAGAGTTTCTGTCTATAATCACAATGGCAGGGAGCAGACTGGCATGATGATGACTACATCTTGATTGAAAGACAACAGGAAGTAGACTGAGTCACTGGGCATAGCTTGAGCATATAGGAAACTTCCAAGCTCACACTCATAGTAACTTACTTCAAAGACCACACCTACCTCAAAAAAGCTAACCTTCCTAATAGTGCCACTCACTATGAGCTTATGGAGGCCAATTGCTTTCAAACTAACACGAGTTAAACTGCAGTTCATTTCCAAATTTGTGTTGAGAACTAGTCAAAATATTTTATGATAATCTCCATTGTCTTCTTCAATTCTTTTAGTATTTTACTCTGTTTCTTAGAAATTATAAATTTTTGGGTTTTTTGCCATCCGTGTTTGGTTCTATCCTAGGACTCTAAGGTATCCCAGCCCTGAGTTCTGGCCCTCAGTGTTTGTTACCACAATTTCTGTGCCATCTTTACCCCACTATATCTTGGATGAAGGACAAATTATTGGTTGAAGGATTTGTGGATGGGTTGGTGTCCACCGGAAGTCTTTTCTGGCAACATGAAATGATAAGTTTAGGCTCTACATCCCCCATTGCAAGAAGTCTTGTGTAAACTGACCCTGATAGATTCCATTGCTTTAGGTTTCTAGTTCATTCCAGAGATGCCCCCAGATTCCAGTTGTCTCTCCCAGTACCCACTAATGATATCCTGCCATACTCATAGATTGATGCCTAACATAAATGTTATCAGGGAAGCTTCACCCAGAAACTGTTGGAAACAGATGCACAGTCAAACATTAGGTGGAGCTCCGAAAATATTGTGGAAGATGGGGAGAAAGGACTCTAGGACCCAGGGGTGTCAAGGGCACCACAAACACACCCACAAAGCCAACTAACAGGGGCTCATAGCATCTCACAGAAACCAAACTGACAACCAGGGAGTCTGCATGATCTAGGTCCTCTACATATATGTTTCAATTGTGTGACTTGATCTTCATACTAAACTCCTAACAGTGAGATCAGGGACTGTCTCTGAAACTTCAGCCTGATTATAGGACCCATTACTCCTAACAGATTGCCCCATCCAGCTTTGTTATCCATAGAGGGCCTGCCTGTATCTGAAGAGAAAGAAAGAAAGTGGAGTAGGTGGGGAGGGGACAGGAATTGAGAAGAGGACAGGAAGGGAAACTTGGTTGGGATGCAAAAACAAACAAAAAGTAATAAAAGTTTTTTAAAAAGTAAATAAATTTAAATTAAAAAAAATTTAAAAGAAATTTAATCTCTTGTCTTCCTTTCTGAATTCTTGTTTGATTGTCTAGGACTGGCATAAAGAAATTGGATGCTTGCTTTTCTTTTTTTTGTTGTTTTTATTTGTTTGTTTGTTTTGTTTTCAGGACAGGGTTTCTCTGTAACAGCTCTGGTTGTCCTAGAACACACTTTGTAGTATAAACCACGCTGGCCTTGAACTTACAGAGATCTGCTTGCCTCTGCCTTCTAAGTGCTTGGGAAATTGGATGATTTTTATTGTTTAACAAAGGTAAAATGACTAATTTACTAATTTACTAAATTTACTATTGTGAAAACAATGTTTGAATATTGTGAAAACAATGTTTGAATACTGTTTATTTTATCCGTCTTTCTGTGAACTTTGATATTTACTGAACTAGCTTCCAGTAATGCACTAAAAATCAAAGCCACACACAGTACTGTTAATGACAGGATTCTTACAAGCACCACCGCTGCTGGAGAACATTAGGTTTTAGTAGATGGGGTGGTCTAACATGTTATTCTTAGCCATTGTTCTAACCCTATGGCTTTCTACTGCAAAAGGAGAAGGTAAGTGGAGACAATTTAAAAAATATACTTTCTAATCAAATGTATTTATCTGTTGTGTGTATGGGATATTTTTAGTTAATTTTAAACTTTATTATAAAATATTGGCCATAGAAAATAAACTATAAAAAAGCTTTAAGTGAAAAATTAGAAAAATTTTTAAATAATAAAAACTGATCAACTTACAGAGTTTCTGATGAGCAATTATGGAGAAAATTTTTAATAAAATGGGTTTTTTTTTCTGTTCTCTAACCCTCAAAGTATGAATGGCTTCTAAATATAATTTTGAGAGACAAAATAAGCTCTTTTTAATGTGTAAATAATAAATATAGCAAGATCAATTTTCAAAATGCTATTCATCAACTTAAATTTTAAAAAGCCACTAAACAAGACAAAACACCCAACAGACTTTAAATATCCCTGTGTCTGTGTGGGATTGATTTTATTTTTTCAGGTTGTACAAGTTTTAATGTCATAGTCACTAAAATGAGTAACTTTTCCCATTTAAACCAAATTATCATTCATCAGATATAAATGTCTTTTAATAAGTCAATGAACACTATTTATATTGTGAATGTAAGGCACCAAAGTGCCAACAACTGGCTCTTTCTGATCTCCAATGAACGTAGAAAGTAGGAGATTATGTCTCCTCTGTATTAACACTTTGTGCTTTACCAGGGTTTTACATCTGTCTTTCAGTGTTTCCGAATGCCATCATATCTAAGGAATTTCAAACAATGCCTTAAACAGGTATAGGGTTCTGGAATTTCGTCACTATGCTTGACTCTGGTTTTAGGTACTCTATGTTGTGTTATTTGTTGTTTGCTCATGCTTACACATGGTAGGGTAATGCATGTAACTTGTCAGACGTCACTTATGTGAAAAAGCTAGGATCAAGATAATTTCAAACTTTTAAAAAATTCACCCTTTTACATTTTTAACCAAATTTATACCATTATTTCAGAGATCTTAAAAATTTTATTATGCTATGACATTTCACTTTGATTGTGGGAAAGCAGTCACCTAATGAGAGAAAAATCAATCCTGTCAAAGAACAGAAGATGTTTACTCTAAATTTTTTACAGTTTTATAGTATTTAAGATCGATATAATCACATTTCTCCCTTCTTTCTTCATTTCAAACTGTCCCACATATCCTTCACTTTTCTCTTTCTCAGGGCCTCTTCATTCACTAATTTTTATTGCATTCATGTGTATATATTTATGTGTCTGTATGTGTATATATTTATATGGAATGTATGTGTATATATGTATACATATATGTTTATGTGCATGGAATACATGTGTATATGTGTATACATACATGCTCAGTCTATACAAAAGTATTTGTAAATACAGTTTGGTATTCTGTACAGACTGAAGAATGACCTAAAATACTCATAATTTCCCTTTTAAATTTACTTTTAAGTCACTAAGTATGCAGCAACAAAAGTAGAAGAATACATAGTAAGTAAGAGGTAGATAAATACATGAAAAACAGGCAGGTAAGCAGGCAGGCAGACAGTAAGACGGTATTTCAGGCCCTCAAGATATTAAGCATTGATCCACTAAGGTGACTAATTTATGGCAGGTATCTGAACTTCCACTTTGAGAGTCCTCTTGGATGAAAATCCTGAGAAAAAAGCGAATAGCAACAGACAGATCACACGAACATGCCAGCAGGAACTTACTGGAACAGCTGAAGCAGTAAACTGGAGTTCCCGATTGATTCCTCCCTCCCCTCCCCACCCCCACAGATGAACTTGCCAGGGCTCATCTTTCATTGTTTTCTCTGCTTTTTCTGGGAATCCAGATGGGAAACTCCAGCTGGCTAACCTTACACGTGCTTCCTCAGTGTATTCTGGATATCTGCAAGAAAATTTGATGGTATTACCTTTCCATTAGTTTTATTTTTTTTTACTTGGAAGCCTCATGTAATGGGACACTATGTGTCCTTTGGAACCCCAGCTGGCTGCAATCAATGGCTTGTCTCATTAATGTCTTCAGGTTATGTTCTGGAGTCGACTTAACAAAGTTTTCCTATCAGTTTTGTTGTCTGTCTGCCTAGCTACCTTTCTGCCTCTCATTTTGTCTATCTCATATGTAAAAATCTTTTCCCATTTTGTAGGTTGCCATTTTGTCCAATTGACAGTGTCTCTTGTGCATTTCAGTTTCTGTAAACTGGAACATGGCTCCCTCATAGCAGTATGTCCCATTAAGCAGTGCCTAAATCATCCCACTGCTTTCCTAAACTAAACTCCCGAAGTTCAAATTCCTCTAAAACAAAAGCATGATCAGGCTTATCACAGGAATGCCCCAGTATCTGCCTCCAATTTCTGTCTTAGTGTTTATATTACTATGAAGAGATACAACGGGAGTAGAAACCCTTATAAAAGAAAACCTTTGATTGGCGTAGGTTATAGTTTCAGTGGTTTAGTCCATTATCATCATAATGACGGAACATGGTGGAGTGCAGGCAAACATGGGTGCTGAAAAAGAAGCTGAAAATTAGCACATCTTGATCTGCAGATAAATGAAAAATTATAAATGTAGCTTGTGGATAGGAGACCTCAAAACTCACTCCCTTCAGCAAGGCCATACATACTTCATCAAAGCCACACCTCCTAATAATGCCACTCCCTATGAGCTTATGTGGGACAATTGCATTCAAACCGCCATACATAGCATACTAACTTACACTAAGGCGAACCACGCCCCCTCATATTAAGGCTGGATGAGGCAACCCAGTAGGAGGAAAAGGGTAACAATGGCAGGCAAAAGAGTCAGTGTCCAGGAGCCAAATACTTGATAGCTTAGAGACCTAGGATAGAACCAAACATGACTGACCCAGAAGAAAAAAATGTCAATGAAATGATTACTAATGCTATTCTATTATACTCATAGACCAGAACTTAGCATAACCATCATCAGAGAGGCTTCATCCAGCAACTGATGGAAGCAGACACAGAGTCCCACATTCAGACATTAGAAAAAGCTTAGAGAATCCGGCAGAAAAGAGGAAGGAAGGATTGTGGAACCACAGGGATAAAAAACACCTCAAGAATACAGCATACAGAATCAACTAATCAATTTTTATTATGTCTTTCACTTTCTTGGTTAGAGTTGTTCCAAGATATTTTATATTATTTGATGCTATTGTGAAAGGTACTGTTTCCCTGATCTCTTTCTCAGTCCTTTTTGTCATTTCTATATATGAATGCTACTGATGTTTGGAGTTAATTTTGTATCCAGATACTTTGCTGAAAGTGCTTATCAGCTATAGGTGTTTGTGGTGGAATTTTTAGGGTTACTTGTGCATACAATCTTATACATCTTTATGTATAAAATCCTATCACCTACAAATAAAGATAATTTGATTCCTCTTTCAATGTGCATTCCCTTGACCTTCTTCAGTTGTTTTATTGTTCTAGCTAAGGCTTCAAGCGCTATATTGAATAGTACTATATTGAATATATAGAAAGAATGGGCAGCCTTGTCTTTTCCTAATTTTATTAGAAGTGCTTTGAGTTTCTCTCCATTTATATTGATGTTGACAATGTGTTTGCTATAAAATACCTTTATTATATTAAGTTGTATTCCTAATCTCTCCATGATTTTATCATGAATGGGTGTTTGCTTTTTGTCAAAGGTCTTTTCTTCATCTAATGAGATGATTCTGTGGGTTTTTTCTTTCAGTTTGTTTATATGAAGGATTCCATTTATTGATATTTGTATACTAAGCTATGGGATGAAACTTCCTTAATCATGGTGGATGATTTCTGATGTGTTTGTGGATTCAGTTTGCAAGATTTTATTGAGTCTTTTGCATCTCTGTTCATAAGGGAAATTAGTTTGTTAATCAAATTTTTGGTTGTCATTTATATGCTTCGGGTATCAGGGTAACTGTAGCATTATAAAATGACTTTGGAAAAGTTTCTTCTCCCTCTATTTTTGGAATAATTTAAGGATTTTTGACAATAACTCTGCCCTGAAAAGATGGCAAAATTCTGTGCTAAAACCATTTGGCTGTGGGGTTTTTTTGGGGGGGAGGGGAGCTGGGAGATACCCTGGATTTCATCAATGTCTGTTTTTCTGTCCCCTTCTTCATTTATGATTTTGGTAATTTGCATATTTTCTCTACTTTTAATTTAGATAAGGAATAAGAAAATTCTTTTGATTTTCTCAATGAACCAAATCTTTGTTTCATTGGTTTGAATTGTTTGTTTGTTTCTCTATTATTGATTTAATCCAGAGTTTGATTATTTCTTCCTGTCTACCACTTTTGGATGTGATTTCTCCTGTTTTGTTCTACAGCTTTCACATGTGTCCTTAAGTTGGTAGTATGAGATCTCCAGATTTATTTTTGTAGAATCTTAGTGCCTTGAACTTGCTTCTTAGAAATGCTTTCACTGTGTCCAATAAATTTCCATATATTGTGATTTATTTTCATTCAGTTGTAGAAAGTATTTTCTTTCATAATTAGTATCTTGACCCATTTTTCATTCAGTGGAGAGTTGCTCAGTTTTCATGAGTGTGTTTCTGTTGTTATTGATACCTAGCTTTCCGCTCATGATCCGGTAGTGTGCAGAGGCTTATTTTAGTTTTCTTGTATCTGTGAGAACTGCTTTGAGTCTGAGGATGTGGTAAAACTTAGGGAAGGTTCCATAAGGAACTTAGAAGAAAGTATATTCTTTTGTTTTTGTGGAAAATGATTTTAAATATCTATTAGGTCCATTTGGTTTAGAATGTCAGTTATCTCCAATACTTTTTTTGGAGAAAAGCACAGTAAAAATTCACAACAGGATGATGGTTATACATTAGGAGAATCTACAACTTTTTCACTTGTGCCATGCTGAATCTGTGGTGGGATAAAATTTAACAATAATTACTAAAAGATTCTGAGATAGATAATAAAATGAACTGTGCTAGTAGTTATTTAGAACAGCTGAAAAATTAGCAAATATGTTAATCAATTTTGTTAGTAGCCTTAATCAACAGTGTGATGGACCAACAACCTGCATCTTGATGGGAATAAGATGTCAAATGGGATTGCGGTAAGTGCTGACCACTCTGACCACCTCAGTTGATTACGCATTTTAAGAAATATTAGGTTTGTTTTGAGGAGGTGACAATAAAGTGGGCAAAGACAGATTATCCTATGCTTTTATGAGAATGAAGATTACCTAAAAGCTGGACAGTGCTAAAAATGATATTCCTATTTGAAATCATGCCTCTTTTGGTACCCATTAAAAAAATCTCAGTGAGCTAACTTAAGTTATTAATGTCTTATGAAAAGTATGATTCTCAAATTTATTGAAGAAAACTTAATAGAAAGAATATACATCTCTAAACATGTACCAAATATATAGAAAAACCTTGAAAAATTTCTCTTACACAAAAAAACAAAAATGTACAAGGAATCTATAGAAAATTTGTGTTTTTGTTAGTGGTATTGTTGGAATTCTTTTAACATATTGCATAGAATCATACTTCTTAAGAATTCATACTATTATGATTTTAAAAGTACTAATTATTTATAAATAAGGACATGAAGGGATAATTTTAATGAAATAGTACATATAAACTTATTAATACAATCAACAACATAGTACTTTAATGTGAAGATACAAAAATAGTTCAATATGATGTAATCATTTTAGATTTCATTTCTGATTAAAATTAGAAATAAGCAGTTATTATATTGGATATTACTAAATATTCTTGGTCCACTACTCTGTTAAGCTGCAAGGCATAACATTATTTCATGAGGAAAGACATTCTCATATACCACAGCAGTCTGGATTCTATTGTCTCATTCTCCTGGACAGTCTCTAGACATAGTTATTGTAATTAATAGAAAGGAACTGATAAAGTGCTTTGTCTATTATGTGGGTTGTTTTTGTTTGTTTTCGAAGTGAAAAAATTGTGCTCTGTTTTTCTGTAAGGTGAAAGATATAGTTTAGTTTTTCAATAAGTTGTCTCATGTGAATCAACAGACACATTTACTTCAAAGAGGAAGGGATATATAATCTTCAATATATTTTGATGAAGAGCCTGTGAATATTAATAAATAGATCCAATAAGAGTCCAAACCAGCAACATAAATTAAAGAATTAGAAGTGAAAGGATTTACTAATCTGATATATGGTGAAATTATTGACAGTTGTAAAATCATGAAGCATTATATATATAGAATGGCTTCAAGAGAGAAAAATTAAAATCAGAGAGGCACAAAAATATCAGGAGGTTAGAAAGTGAAGGGTAAAAGAGCAAGTCAAAGAAACATGAACCTTGAAACCACAGTCAAAGAAACACGCAACAATGCTAACACCAGAACTAATTCACTGGACCTGAAACGAGGGCCAACAGGTTAAAAAGGGACAGTGAAAGAAATGCACCATGGCCCTGAAACCAGATCCAGTGAAACACACCCTGCCTTTAAACAAATGACCAAAAATCCATCCAATCACTGAGCTTGAAATCCAGCCCATTTCTGAGCTTCTCCGAGCTCAAGGATTGAAATGTAACCAGTTCTCACTCTGAAAATCTTCATTCTGGAAAACTCTACTGCTAAGGAAAACTATATAAGTTCTGTACCTGTTCAGTTTGAAGCTGCCTTTTTACACCCTGGCAGAGACAGCCACTCTCCAGGATTCCTCCCTGCTAGCTAATAAATCCCTTGAATGAGGTTTAGGTGACAACCTTCTTTGCCAAAGTGGAGCTGGACAGAGAAATAACTCTCACCAGAGCAGGAGCAAAGCTGCTGCATTTCGGCTGGAAAAGTCCCTAAGAGCAGAGCAGAACAGAGCAGAACAGAGCTGAAATGGCTCTCCCAGAGAAGACCAGAACTGCATTACTGCTGTGGGGAAAACATTCCCCACCAGAACAGACCTGTAGGTATAGCCTGGCTGCTTATTGGTTTACTTTTCCCTCCAGAGCTGCAGCACTTATCAGAAACCTGACTGATATGGCAAACATAGAGATGAGCTCATTTAATGTCATTGTATAGCTTTCAGTACAAATAATAGTATCAGTCAGTTTTCACATTCTTAATCATAATGAGATTAAATTTTTTCCTTATTTATATATCCTTCTTTTCAGAAATGACATGCAGTCCTCCTTCTATTGAAAATGGTGACTACATACCACACAGGATTAAACACAGAGCTGATGATGAAATCAGCTACAGATGTAAAGATGGCTTCTATCCTGCCACCCGGGAAACTGTTGTAAAGTGTACAAGTACTGGCTGGATCCCTGCTCCGAGATGTATCTGTAAGTTTATGCAGATCTTTAATCCCTATAATCCTGAAATTATAGGGATACATTACTAGCAAATATTTGACTTTTTCTGTGTACAACCTTTAGAAACACTCTACATTTTCAAGCAATATTTTATGCAATATATTGTTTTGAAGTAATACTAAAATTTAAGATTTCAAGAAATATTATGGTCACATTTTAGAAAACAAAAATTTAGAATTTATGTCCACTCAAATTTTGGTATATGTGTTGTGTGACAGTTTGATTGTGTTCTGACAAAGCTTGCTTGGAGTCAGAGGCAGAGCTAGCCACTAGCTGACCAAAATAAACCACTGAGGTTCAGAGGACTGCAGACAGACAGGAGACAGGAAGTAGTAAGGTGGGACTGAGAGAGAATCTCAGGCTTTTTGGAGGAAGAAATGGAAGAAATAAGAGGTGACTGGTATCTGCTCCCCTGCTTTTCTGATCATTCAGGTTCTTACTTCAATATCTGACTTCCGATTTTTTATTGATAAACAATTAATAAAGTCTTCTTATATTTTTGTATTAAAAAAGCCTTTCAAAGATTTTTAGCAGATTATCAGGTAAGAATACTGTCAGAGAATTAGTTATATTTATTTTTCACCAAATTGTAGCAAATATCCATAAAATATACTTGTTTCATAATGAACTTTTCTGGTATCCCCAGTGTGATCCAGATTTGAGGATGGCTTGGCTCCTGGCTCTGTATCACTGTGATACTGTCAGAGACTGCCATGGCTGTCAATCATCAGGAGCTGCTGCTGGGCTTGTGCTCTATATCCAACATGTCACACTCACGTGGCTTTGGTAAGAGGCCTCAGTTCCCTATCAGATACGCTTCTGCATAGGTTGACTGATGACAGCAAACTTGCTCCAGAGCTGCTCACCAGTGACAGACAACGGGGCACCAGAACCTGGCTATGATCCAATCACACACAGTTGTTCCTAGCATGGCTGTTTCTCATATACTAAGTCCAACTATCCCAGAAGGAAAATATGTTTCCCTCTTTGGAGGTAGTTGTTTTCAAGGATATCAGTGGCTTCACAGCACAGTGTCATTTGAGTCAAGAGTATTTTATTTCTGGGATACCCCCTTCATTCTTTCCAGGTTTTTACTTAACTGCATCCATTTTCTTTTCTTAATTTCTATCTAGCAGTTCAGTCCATGGTAAATATTTTTCATACTTAAACCTAATACTCATACTTAACGCTAAGCAAAAAAATAAAAAGACAAATGAGTGCCCAAAGATCTCTTCTTGTCTTCTTTCTTTCTTTGTATCAATTTAACTGAAGTAAGTATCTTACAGTTTCCGTGACTTGAATTTATTGTCAACTAGTGCCATCATTTTAAGCCTGTGACAGATAGAGTATTGTGTCAAGGAGTGAGCTGTAAGCCAAAGCTGTTGCCTCCTGTCCACCAGGAAACAAAGCTAGAAAAAAATGGCAACATCCCAATACCCCTTCACAAAGACATAGCCCCAGTGACCTGAATTGTTTCAACCAGATCAGCAGCTCCTGAACTTTATACTATCTCCCAATAGAAGCAGCAGTGAGGAACCAACCTTCTAACTGACATGAGATTTTAGAAAATATATGAGATCCAAACAATTTAAGAACAGAAGAAGCTATTTTTAGTAAGAAATGAGAACTGTATGCAAACTGTATATATACATTTAGTTCTTTGATAATTTCTTATATGTATATAACATATTCTGGATAGTCTACCTCCTTACCTTCTTTCACATCCCTCCAACTCTATCAACAACACCTCATCCTTGTCTGTTCTTTTCCTGGATTTATAAGTTTGAGTTTTGATATGTAGTGTACTTAATTGGATCCAGGACACATGCATAACATTGAATTAGAACTGTTTTGTGGAATCTGTTTTAGACACTGGTGGTTGATACCCGAAGGCACTGACTCCATTTTTTCCTGAATCTATCAGCATGAAACAGTTCAGCAGTGAGGGCCATGCTTCCCTAAGACCTGACTACTTTCATTCCGGGATGCTGGCAGCCCCTTCTTATGCAGACTCATTGCGGTGAATGTAGTCATGGAGAGTTTGCGATTATAGTGACTGTATAGTCTAGAAGATATTTCACAGTTATTATCACTGCACTGTAGCTCTTATATATTCGTGAACTTTCCACATATTCCTTAAATTTTGGATGGGATGGTGTAATGTCATGTTTTACAGCGATCACACACTCACTATTCCCAGTACTTTGAGTTTTAATAAATCTCTGCCTTCATGATAGTTACTGGAATAGAAAGGCTTCTGTGTAATGTTGAGAGTGTTGTCTATAAATACAAACATATTTTAGGAAATTATTCAATATTATGTAAAATTTTCTCAATACCAGAATTAATTACCTCCCCCTCTACACATACCTGTCATGGCTTTTGGGTAGGTAGGTCCAAAAGCACAATTATGAAATCAGTGTAGTGTGGTGGGCCTCAAACCCTTTTATTCTACAATGTAGATCTATAACATAGATCTGAGTAAACATATCTGGACTGTCTGTGGCCTAAATTTATCTGAATTTAAATTATTTCACTCTTGAATATCTGATGTTTTCTTGCATAAGATAAAGATGACAAGTCTCTCCATAGTTTCATTAAATAACTTTGTTCTACTTAAAAGGTATAGTGCTCCCTTCTCAGATCTGTTCAATTACATATTTCTTTTATCAGATGGTTTGCTGTTTAGAGGAAAGCACAATAAGACTTCACTGCTGGGACAATGCAGGGGATGATGATCATGAGCCTACATTAGGAGATTCTACAAATTTATCATTTGTGCCATAGTGGATCTGAAGTGGGATGAAATTTGCCAATAATAACTAAAACCCTGGGATAAATAAAAAATGAGCTGTGCTAGTACTTATTTAGAACAGTTGTAAAAATAGCAAATATATTCTTCAGTGTTGTGAGTAGCCCGAATCAGCCCTGGGATAAACCAACCATCACTGCTGATGGGGCCACAGCCTGCATCTGGAAAAGTGTAAGATGTCAGGTGGGCCTATTTTAAGTACGACCCACCTCTCTTGACCGTACACTTTAAGGAATACTAGGTATATTTTAAGGAATTGCCACTAAAGTAGACAAAGACAGATTATCCTACGCCCATATGAAAAGGAAGATTACCCAAGAGCTGGACTGTGGGAGTAATGATATTCTTCTTTGAAACCACGTGTCTTGTTGGTACTCTTTTAAGAGAAATTTCAATGAGCTAACCTTACTTAAATATGCTCTATGAAAAGTATAATTCTCAAATTTGTTGAAGACAAAAGCATAGGATAGAAAACTTATACATTTATAAACTATGTACCAAATGTACAATAAAATTTTGAAAATTTTCTCTTACAAAACAAAATGAACAAGGAAGCTTTAAGAAATTTGTGTCAGCCCAATGAGGTTTTGTCGTGAATTATCTTAAATGGAATTTAAATGCAGTATTTCCTGGGGAAAGGATATACATAAACCAGAATATGGAATAGACAGGACCTCAAAGCCCAACAGCCTCAATTCATAAGTGAGAAAATTTGAATATAAGAAAGGACAGAAAATCTTCATGTAAAAAAGATTTTAATTAAAAAAATAAATTTGTGTCCTTTTGTCAGTTGTGTTTGTTGGAATTCTTTTCCCATATTGCCTGAGGTTACCTGAAGTAGAATAATACTTCCTCAAAAAATTCACACTATTCTGATACTAAAAGTACCAATTATTTATAAATAAGAACATGAAGAGAAAAATTTAATGGCATAATTCCATATAAACTCATTAATATGATCAACAATATAGTACCTCAATATGAAGGTACAAATATAGGTCAGTTTGATGTAATCATGTTAGATTTCAGTTCTGATTCAAATTATGAATAAGCAGGTATCATACTGAATATGTAGTCCTGTCTCAGTTCTCTGGTAAGCTGTAAAGTGTAACTTGATTTCATGAAGAAAAACATTCTCGTATACCTTAGCAATCTGAATTCAATTTGTCTCCTTCTCCCAGACATTTGCTAGACATTTAGTTGACTTAATATTTTAAAAATAATTTACTAAGCAAGTAGTCTATGTATGATATGAGTGCTTTTCTGTTTTTTTATTTTGTTTTGTTTTGTTTTTTATTGCAAGTGAAACCTTGTGATTTTCCACAAATCAACAATGGAGGTCTAGTTTATAAAGAAATGTTCAGACCCTACTTCCCAGTAGCTATTGGAAAACATTACATTTATTATTGCAACAGAGGATTTGTCACTCCTTCAAACAGACGTTGGCACAGCATTCGCTGCACCACACAAGGGTGGAAGCCTGCAGTCCCATGCCGCAGTAAGTCAATGTCTGTATTAAGTCATGTTTAATTCTATCAAAGATCAAAAAGATGAGCACATACATAATTACAGTTAAGTCTCTCATGACAAAAAAAAAAAAAGACCAACAGAAGACTTTGTGAGCGAAAAAGACCAGTTCCTCCTATGAGCAGATCTTAGTGAAATGAATGACAAAAATGGAACTACAAGAATGTCTCTTTTGTTTGCATATTTTATTTATAAAAACTAAAGATAAATGCTACTTCTTCAAACATTTTCTTTTGGTTTTATTCTTGAATGACACAGTGCTCATTTAACTATTATAAAGATAAAGTTTAGTTTTAAAAAAACAAATCAGTTTTTTTTAACATTTATGGTAAATTTATAATCCTTAGGGTAATGTAGTTTCCACTATGTGGAGTATGGTGAGTTTCTACAACAAAAAGGAAACTATGTTCAGGATCAGTCTGTAAGAGTCCACTGTTACTCTGACTACAGTCTTCCAAATGGTCAGGACACAGTTACATGTATAGAGAATGACTGGTTTCCTTAGCCCAAATGCATCCATGTCAGTAAGTAATGGGCTCCGAGATCACAAGATGCTCTTGATTCCCTGTCCCATCTATATTAACTGTGCCAAAATGCTTCTTTTCAAGTGTGAAATATATGAATATTGGTATATATCAAAAAGAACACACCTAACAGATATTAGGCCACAGCACAACAAGGCATTTCATACATTTTTGTTTAATTCAAAACAGTATATATTTTGAACCCACTTTGTCATTTGATTCATGACAATTATAAAAGAATAGCTTAATTGAACAGATATGATAATAGCTATACACATTCATATATTCAAGAAGTAACACATTTTACAGAAATGCTAATTGTCTCTAAATCTTTTGAGATGTGCAATTGGGAAGGAAATTCCAGGACATTGAACATTGTCTAGTTTTCATGTTTTTTTCCAATTTCTGTTGCAATATTCATTTGTGTCGTTGGTTTCTTCTTCTTCTATGCCCTTGCTGATGACTGTGTGGTATCACACTTTATCTTTAAAATAAAAGTCTATAAATATTACAGTATAATAGTGTTTATATGTATTCCTTTTGTTAACATTTGAAAGTTTAAAATATAATCCCAAGAAATTTTGTAGTTATTTATTTTAATTTTGAAATTCAGTCTTTTTCTAATTTATATTATTGTGATTTTTTTCTTGGAATGTTAAAAAGTCTAGTATCTTTGAGTTACATGTATCATAAGTGTGTTGTTTACTTTGGATCACCAACTTCTTAAAATAATCTTGATTTGATATATTATGATATTATCATGATCTTTCAGGATGACTTTGAAACAATCAATCACAATATTGAATCTTCATATTTATGAATGTGATACATCTTTAAAAGTTTAATCAGTTTAAATGTATGTCAGTTACCTTCTATTATACCATTTTACTCATGAGAAACTTTTATTAGTATTATTTTTATGATACATTTCCATAATTTTTTGATCTTTAGGAATTTTTTGTCTTTAGTTATTTAAATTTTTATATGATGAATATTAGTGACCTGTTTAAAATTTAAACTAAATATTTATTTGATAGTCTTTCCTTCATGCTAGTTTTGCTTATGTTCTTAATTTTACAGATTCTTTCTGTGGACTTTGTTAGTTGACCTGATCTATATGAGGATACAACTTTTTCATATTTCTGTGCTTTTTAAGATATTATTTCAGTGTTATCCCCGTGAATTTCTTTAGCTTTATTTCTTTTCACATAGATATATACTAACTTGGCTTTTTATACCATTTTCAGGAACATAAAGGCTATTTTAAATTATGGAAAATTTTAAGACATTTATGAAGATTTGAAGATAAGCCATTGTTTTCAAATTATAAAGTATTTCTTAGATAAATATCTAAACCTGAGATGAGTACTATGTCAGGTATATAATTCACTCTGTAAGAAGCTAACATGTGGATTTTCAGGATGTGTGAATATTTTGCACCAATGACAACAATGAACAAGTTGCTTTGTTTTCCTCTAAAAATCCTGAGAGTCACAATTTAGATTCTAAATGAATCAGCAAAGGGAGTAGTTCTTACTTTAGTTTTATATTCATGGTTGTCTAATAAAAACAATAACCTAAAAAACATTTTAATTAAATATTTCTTTTCAATTTTATTTTACAGTTCTTTACATATCTAGGAAGCGACTCCTTTAGCAAATCTGTGAATTTTTTATGACATGGCTCATCTTATGAGTTTCTAATTGTTATTTCCAGTCTGTGTATTATAACAATCAGTGAGGCCCAAGAAATATTTGTGAATTATTTTTGCTTATATAGGACACCTAAAAATAATTTTAATTTTTGAGTATGTTCTTTTTATTATTTGAAAATTTAACACCATGTGTTTATGTGTTTAGATCATATTTGTAGAATCAACTACTCCCAGGTATATGCCCCTTCTACTAGCCACCCAAATAACTGTGCTCCTCATTTTCCATTGATCAAGAAGCCAAATTTTTCCAATTTTTATTTTGTGGTATTATACTGGAGAATGTTTGATTTGCCACCCCCCTCTGTGATGGGAAGTGGCCTAACTCACACATGTGCAGGCCTTGTGCGTGCTCTTACAACTACTCAAAATTCATATATGCATCTTCCTTGATGTTTCTGGAAAATATTACTTCCGGGTAGTCATGTACCTTTTCTGACTCTTCTACCCATCCTGCCCTTTCTTCTTTAGTGCTTCTTGAGACTTGGTAGGAGAGCATGAGATAAAGATATCCCATAAAGGTATGAACATTTCGGTCTCTTACTTTCTGCATGTTGATCACTTTTAAATATTAGTTTCAAATGAACAAATAGAAGTGTCTCTGGTGAGAGCTGATAGATGTGTTAATTTACTAAAAGTGCATCTCTCGTCCATGAGTACTGTATTTACATCCCTTCATCATCTCTCTCCTCCCACTGATACCACCCTTTTCCCCCACCTCTCAAATTCATGACCTCGTCTTCTTTATCTATGATTGTTTAATCAATACACATGGAACCCCACACACATACACATGCACACATAACCTACTGAGTCCCTTTAGTGCTGCTTAAATGTACAAGTGTTAAATGTTTTAATACAAAATTACATGAGACTGGATAACTTATCAGGGCCTCGCTCATTCTTATGGAGAATTGATTTTCGTCTTCCAGCAAACATTAATTGCATATAGTTCTTCTTCTAGAAATAGTGATTGTGAGAATTTTTCTACATGTGTTGTATGTCAACTGGTATTGTGCTGGACTCATTTAGATCATAATATTTTTGAGATTTTTTATGAGTACAGTCTCCCTGTACTCATAAGTAGAAGCCAATATCTCACAACAGACATCCTGGGTCTCTGGCTCCTAGTCTTTCTGTTCCTTTTTCCATTTTGATCTTCAAGCCTTTGGTGTAGAGGTTGTCCTAAAGATGAATTATTTGGATTATTCAACAAATAGTCAGTGTTCTCTGCATTTTGACCAATTGTAGATTCCTCCATTTACCACGAAAAGTAAAGTTTCCTTTTTGTGGGGTAGGAGCAGAACATATCTGTGTATACAAAAATAAGTATTCACAATGCCCTTAGAAATTGTATATTTTTTATAAAGTGGTAGTAATAAATTTTTCTTAATTTACTTGCTTTGGTTTTCACAAATTGCCTCTTGATGATAGGGATATATGTCTACATACATAGATGTTGAAATAGATATAGATATAAATAGATAGACACATACACACATATACCACATATATATACAATATATGTATTGATACATATATAAATGCTATACATACATACCTTTTGAATACCATATATACATATAAATATATAAAAGACCCATATTGTGTACATATAAGAATAATGATATATTCCACTATTGCACAACTAAGAATATCTAGCCTTGCTGGTCATAGCTGTGGTTGATAAGATGTACACCTGGGTAGGGCTAGATTTTCTCCCTTGGCAAATTGATATCCTGGATCATTTGTAGGTGTAAATTAGCTTTCTGTGTCAGTACCCTCTATATTCACATATGTAGACTCTGGAAAAGTAGTTGTTTCCTGGAATTGTGACGGTAAGACTTTAGTGGTGGTATCTCAGTCCTGAGGGAACAAAACCAAAGAGCATGCTTTCTTCTTCTCATTTGCCGTCTGCACATCTTCACTGAACAAGATTCTTCAAAGCGTTTCCCACTTTACCTTTGCTGTTTGTTTGATCCTAATGAATTTTGAGACTAGTTAGTATATTGATTCTGTCAGCCTTCTATAGGCAAGTCTTCTTCACAAGTATTTTCTCACCAAATGTAAGTACAGTCACACTTACATTTTCTTGATCTCTCACATGCAAATGTTTACTTTTTACCATCCTCCTTTTTATTAGTACTTTGATAATTTCACACAACATATTTTGACTGCATTCACCTCCTTTGCTTCTGTTGGTTAACTCCTTCCATATCTGTCCCCTTGTCCTTGCCCATCCAACTTGTGTTCTTAAAAAATACCAAATCCAAATTGTGCTGCCCGTCTACTTCTGGATGTGTGTTCATCCACTGGAGCATGATCAGGCCTCTCTGTGTGATGTCTGCTCCTCATTACCACATGCCCAGGACCTTCAGAAACTCAAGTCAGATAAATCCCAGCATTGAGAGGGAAGGTAGGCACAAGGCCTCACTCCTAGCTGAGGTGTTATTTGCAAATATTATCAAACCTTCAATTATGTTGTTAAATGTATAGAATATTTTCTGAAGACCCACTCTGAACCAAAAAAAAACCCTCACCACATAATAATCAAAACACTAAACATACAGAATAAGGACAGAATATTAAGAGCTGCAAGGAAAAAGGTCAAGAAACATATTAAAGCAGACCTATCAGAATTATACCCGAATTCACATCAGAGACTCTAAAAGCCAGAAGGGCCTAGACAGATGTTTTGCCGACAATAAGCAACCACAAATGCCAGCCAAAACTTTA